ATATTAGGCAAAGCAGTCCTTGATATGGCCCAGCCGGTGCAGCAGAGCCTGGCTTTGGGGGCTATGGTGGGTGATTTCAGAGGTCTGGAATGTCAGATAGGCTTATCTAGGCCAGGAGACAGCAGCCTTCCGCTCCCAGCTTCACCCTCCCAATCTTCCACCCTAGCTCCCTGCCTCCCTCCACAGCTCAGGAACCACATAAAGAGTTGGGCTGCACGCATTACCCAGACTGGGCTACCCCCCACTGAGGAGCCTCTGCAGAGGCAAAAATGGGCAAGGGTCAGGTTCAGGAGCAACAGGTGTGGGGTGACCCAACTGGATGCTCACAAAATACAGACATTTCCCTTTCACAAGTTAACGAAAGGGTTTTTATGATACAGGCTACTGGTCCCTTCTCTGCTAGTGACAAGAGAGCCCATGAATCATTTCCTGCGCCCATGTTTTTATGGCAATAACATACAAATGCCTTCTGTCTTGAACTGGTTACCTGTAATTAATGAACCACCCCAGGAAGGGTTTGTGGAAAGAGCCCTAGATTGGAATCGGAGCTCATCCTCAATGGCCCTCCAGGTACTCTGCTTGACTGCAGGGCCTGTCTTCACAGCCTGACCCCAGGAAGCCTTTCTCTCTGGTCTCCTCCTGCCTCCATCCATTCTGCTCTCTCCGGCTCGCGCCCTCTCACCGTTCCCCACAGGCACCTTTCCCTTCCTTTCATGAGCAGCACACTCTGCCTAGGTGATATGCCTCTGCCTTGTGTTCCCTCTAGCTCTTCCCTCAGCAATGCAAGGCAAACTCCTACTCATCTGTCAAGCCCCAATCAGACCTCCTCTTTCAGGAAGCAATTCCAGACAAGCTCAGTCACATGTACTCCTGCAGAACTGTGTGCGCACCTCTCTCGCAGCACTTAGGGTACTAGTGATAATGATGGCTAAACATTTACTAATCGCTTATGTACTAGGCAGCATTATAAACACTTTACAAAAATAACCTTTTCTAATCTTCACAGTCACTCCATGAGGAAAGTACCTCATTTTATAGAGAATGCTATTAAGGATCTGTGATTTAAGTAAGTTGCCGAAGGCCACAGAGATATTAAGTGGCATATATAGTAGCTGCTCAATAATTATTCATCTCATAAATGATCGACTGGATAAATTTCTATCTCCTCTATTGAAAATTCAAGTAAGAACCACTTATTAATCTTTCAGACCATTTCCCCTGTAAACACCTACTAATGTGTAGGGCAAGGGCAATATATAATAAATAAATGAATTAAAGAATAAATGAGCAAACTAATAAATAGAGCCCAAGGCCCGTCAATGCCACCCACTGGCTTTAGACAAACAGCTTTAGCTTGTTGAATCCTGTCTGTCACCTGTCAAATACAGAGACTGTACACTACATTCTCTCAAGCTCCTTCTAGCATTCGAGGTACATACATATAAAATAAACAACCAGACTCCATGATTTTGTGGTTATGGCAACTCCCACACTAAATTAAACATTGCATTTTCTGTTGGTTGTTTCCCTCAGAACATTACATAATTGCATGTGGCATTTGATCCAGGTACTACCTTAATACAGGGCCAATAGCAGTCCTGAGAAAGTTGATTTGGCCTGATCCTTGGTTCCTTCCAAGGTTCACATCCTTGATTCATATCAAAACAGATCACACCCAGGGAAAGAATTATTAAGTGACTGACAAAACCCTCAAAAATAATAATCAATAACAAATAATGATCCCAAGTTAAGTTATGCGACCGGTGTCTAAGCCAATGCTCTAGTGACCTCGCAGGTCCTTCTCCCTGTCTCCTGGCATCTGTACCAGAGACCCTCTTCTCCAAACAGATCCTGGACACCAACCTCCCCTTACCATTACCACCAGCACACACACATGCGCACACACACTCACTGCTGGCACAAAGGAAGCAGCATAGTTTTTAGCACATAAAAGGGCCAATAAAGGCTTATGAAAATCTGAAGCCCAGATCCATGCCAGATGCTGCAGAAATGTGTCCACATCAGCACAAGGTAAAATGTCTGGCTGAATTTCGTTCACTCCCGTTCTACCTTGAGCTAACCAGGAGCTTGGCTATATGCCTATGACCTGACACACCTGTGTCCCATGGCTTAGCATTAATGATCAGCCACATGCATGCAAATGCCCAGCCTTTCTTGTCTGGCTAATGCTCAATGTAAATGACTACACCTAAATGAGGGGTGTGAGCAAGACCGTATCTGTTCATGTCGGGAGAGCAGGAGGGCCGTGTTTTATGTTCTGCTTGACTCACAGCAAGGAGTATAAGCACCAGGAACTTAGAGCTGAGAACTAACCATCCATATGAAGCCAGGATAGAAAGGACCTCTACCATAACCAAGTGCAAATGTACAGTCATTGAAGAAGACACCTGTTGTTTATCTGTCCCTCACCTCGTGTCCTTGGAGATCTGCCCCTCTGTCATGTTCATCATGTGATGCTTGAAAGGACTGCCAAAGACAGTATCCGGCTCCCCCGGCTTTGGCTACAATAACTGGCCCAGAGGTGAGCCTATAGGGACCCTTCCCTGAGATCTTTCCAATATTGATCAGGGAAGGAAAGATTCTAGCCTTTTGCGTCACATTACTATAAAGATATGAACTAGAGGCTACCAATATGGAAAAAATCCATTTTCAGGATGGAGGAATGGAGCCAAAACAAAGCAAAACATCTAAGAGATAGATGGAAGGAGAGGAAATGGGACAGACTTTGAGTGCCTGGATCTTCCTGTTTATACAAATTATGTACTGATTTCCCTGTTTTCTTTAGGGTAGTTTGAGTTGGGTTTCTGAAATGCACAGCTAAAGTGGCCTCACACAGTCACAACTGTACTTAGAGTGCATTTCTGAATGTATTTTTTACTCTTCAGGTAGTTTTTATAAGACGGGCTATCACATATTTGAAATGTCTTTGTTCCCCTCTTAAGAAAGGAGTAAAGATCCCTGAGCCAAGAATCACTATTACTCCGCATCACTTGCTAAAGATCTTAGTTCTTCCCTTTTGTATCTCAGGTACAAATGGTGACCTGCCAACCACAGGATGAGGACTCTTCTATTTCAAGCCACCAAAGCTTGTAAAATAGGGGCTGGCCAGGCAGTCTGGGACACTGGCTAGTGATTTTTGAAGGAAAGACACTTACACGGTGGTCAGGCCTCCATTCCATCCCTCTGCTGGTGACTCCCTCTGAAGGTTTGTCTTCAATGAGAAGAGAGTTCCCTCAACAGCTATTAGGGGCAATGCATTTCCTAATAAACTAAGACCTTTGAAAATCTTCCCTGAGAAAACACATTGCAGCCTGGCCACCTGACTTCCGTGGCACCTTTTTAAAAGAAAGCCACCATATGCAATGACTGAGAAGGGTAATGCTTTTAAAGCTAAAAGCTTCCCCCATCCTCTAAGTCTGAACAACCGCATAGTGAACAATGAACCATAAAATTACAACTAGGAAGGGAGGCGCTGGGCAGGGCAGGCACGAAAGATACTGGCCCTTCTCCTCTTTCCCCCTCACTTTCTGTAACACTTCCATCTCCTGCGTATAAGGCAGAAGCTTGGCAGGTTATGGGCAGGCACTGCCTGGATGGCCAGGATGCTCTGGGCTGAAGCGACTGATCTGTTTCATGCTGATGAAGATCTCTTCCCATCCTCCATACAGTTGTGCATCCCAGCCTCGGAGGAGCTTGGCAGCTGTCTCCCTGGGGGCAAGGGAAAGCAGCCGTATCCCACGGTGGACTCAACGGCTCTTCATCACCAAAACAAACACACAACAGTCCCGATCACCATGGAGAGTTCAATCCTCTTGTCTGGGATTGGCACCGACTAGAATTCCAAGGGCTCTGGCTGAGCTCTCTCCTGTGAGGTCTAAATACAGAATGCTCACTTTTAACCTAAACATCCAGCCTGGACCTGTGCCCAGGGCAGACAGCCCCCAAGGCCCAGCCAGGAAGTTCTGACTCCTGGCTGTCCATTCAGCAGTGGGCATTGCAGAGCTATCTGAGATGTGATGTGCTGGCCAGCTCCACCTTCACAGATGTTGCCTACAGCCAAACAATGGGAGAAGTAACCAGCTTGTGTAGGGTTAACCAAATGCAATCCTGAGTAGAGAAATGCATCCTGGGGAAGGAGGTAGGGAGGTAGAGAATGGGAGGTTGAGGAGGAAGAGAAAGAGAAAGGGAGGAAAAGGCAGAAGGACCAAAGACCTATTTCTTAGCCAATGAAAGTCAGGGCATCCTTCTAAAATGTTTGCTCCCAGGGGACCACAACTTTCTGATCATGCCTCTCCATGGGATTTAGGTCTTAAGCCCTAAACTCAGATCCAGGTTGCCTTCTAATTGTATGACCTTGGACAAGATAATTGACTTTTCAGTTTCCATATCTCTAAAATAGCCCAGTGGACTACTGTGGACATTCAATGAAACCATGTACATAAAGCGTCTGACACACAGAAGTTGCTCAATAAATAGTAGCTACTAGCAGTAGCAGTGGCAGTAATAATAGAAGCAGCATAAAGTCAAGTGTATCTTTGTTTCCACTGTTTTTTAAAAAAAAATTTAGAGAGAGAGAATCATCAGTGTGAGAGAGAAACATCAATCAGTTGCCTCCTTAATGCACCCCGACTAGGGATCAAACCCACAGCCTGGTATGTGCTCTGACCAGGAATCTAACCTGCAGCCTTTTCGTGTATGGGACGATGCTCCAACCAACTGAGCCACTCGGCCAGGGCGAGCGTGCCTTTCTTTTCTCTGCTTTGGAGAGCGCACAAGAATTGTTGTTAAAGCCACCATAATAAGATGGAAAGGATAAGCTGTGCATGTACATACAAAGAAAACCTTCAACTGAGCAAGGCGATAAAACACACCCATACCTGTTAAAAACTGCATCAGCATCAAAACAGCATCAGCTTCCTACCTCTCAACAAGTCAACCTGCATGCCCCACAAGTAATGTCCACAGGTGGGTTCCCTTACCTTGGTGTTCATACATGACTTTCCTCGCTTATACTCTTTGTGGGATCCACGTTTGTCCAATTTGTACCACAGGGCTTTGGCCTTCCAGGTTGTCACTTTGGACTTGAGCTTGGAATAAAAGTTTCTGTGGTCCAGAGGGTCTAGGTCCAGGTGCCGCGTGAGGATGTTAAAAGCCTGGAGGGTGCCTTTGCACGTGGAAGCCTGGACGAAGTTCTCAAAAATCTGCCCGGCCTGGGTCTGCTTCTCGTCCTCGTTTTCTCCCATGTTTCAGGAGCCACGTGGAGCAGTGGTGTGGCGCAGATGGAGGAAGAGGACACCATGAAGTCCCCGAGAAACGTCACACCTGCAAAGGCAAGGGGAGGTAGAGGTGAGCACCAAGTGTGGGCAAGGATGAGCCTGAGAGATCAAATGAAACTCCTTTAAAATACTAAACATGCTACTTAGTACTAAACATACGTAAGCTGTAGAAAATGTCTCATCGTGCTGTCTAACCTGGTAATGCCGCCCGCTGGCAGTCTCCCTCCTCACTCCTCTTCCTGGCTGACAAGAAGCACAGAGAGCTCAAAGCTATTCCCTGGCCGATGTCAACATTACTTGATCAAGTTTGCTGTCAGCCTGATGATTCTAGAAATAGTAACTAGTAAAAGGGATAAAACAGAAAAAGCACTCTAGATTCAACACCATTAAATACCTGTAATTCCTGCTACACATTGGTTGGCTAATACAATGTAATCTAGCCGCATGACACTAGTACACAGGCCAAAAATATCCAAGCACATGCCTCCCTAGGTATTCATGACCATCTCTCCTATCGTTAGACACCAATCTTTGTCTTTTTTGTTGTTGTCGTTGTTGGTTGGTTACCAGAGGGTAGGTCTTTCCCCTACGCAGACAACAAAGAGCAACTTCTCAAAACTTCTCCCTATCCCTGTTATCTGCTGGAATCACAGCATCTGCCTCTATCAGAGATGTACAAGAGGAGCCTGTGCTTTGTAAGCTCATGCTCTGAGGTCTTTGGAACAAGTGCTTAGGCTGATGGAAGGAAAAATGCAATGGGTGTGCATTCACATCACAAAAATAGCTTGCCTGGGTTTTGGCCATCATCCTTTCTCTCTGTACCACTCTAACCTCAGGCATTGCTTGGGAAAGTCATTTAAGTTTCAAAGGAACAAAAATAAATTAGAGCTGATTTTCCAAAGCACTAGCTATTTTTCCAGAATCCAAAGCTAGTGCAAGAAGACAAGCATGGAGGAAGCTGGGGCTGGCGCAGCTGTCGGGAGGGCTCGCGGGGGTCTGCAAATGAGAGGACACAGCAAACTGAGCTCCCTCGACAGAGGTCTGGCCGGAAGAGGTCAGCAAACAGCAACCAGGCCCTCAAGCTGGGTGGCTTCCCACTCTCCAGATGGGAACACTATTATGGGTGCATTTGGATTGCGGGCTGGCTTTATAATACTACAAGCAGAGAGAGACTAGTGTTTATCTTCTTCCTTAATCCTTTACTCATTCATTCAGCAACAGTAACTACTGTCTTAGCAAGAGCCACGCATCACCCTAGGTGCTAGGGATAGAGATGGGGCCTGGTGAGGGAAAAAGGCACAGGGAGAGTTGATTACAAGACGGTGGGCAGATACTTGTAGAATATGAACACGGGGCATGCAAGCCCAGAGCAGGAGGTGGCCAACAGAGCCAGAGGAGCCATGACAGGCAAGTGCTAAAACGCTACAATTTTAGGAACGCGGTAGCTTTCACTAGAAAACTAGGGAATGGACCTTTCAGTCAAAGGAAATACCATACAAAGGTGCAAGTCTGGAAAGAGCCAGTATTGCTGCAGAATGACAGTAAGTTCAATGTGTTGGGGGTTTGGGACACATGACATGGTGTCGTGGGGGCACCCAGGGCAGATCGTGGACAGGCTGGCTTTTCCAGGGGGCCTGGAGTGCCGGAGACAAAGCAGTGGCTGAGACAAGTCTTTGGGACCATGAACGGGCAGAGTGTGGACTGGAGAAGGAGCAGCTGAGGGGCTGCCCAGGAGACAATGAGGAAAGCAGTGAGGAGTGCAAAGGGGAGTGCGCACCCATGAACCTTATAAGGGCAGCCTGGCTGAGCACCACATGTAAGGAGCAGCCTGCTGGGGGCAGACATAGCCACTCTCCAGATGCCCAGATACTGACGAGTGAGGGGCGCACCTGCCACAGAATAGGACCCCGCCCTCCCTTCCTTCTTTTCCCCAAGAGCTCCTGCCATGCCTGCACCATGCTCGCCTGAAGGCAGGATAGCACATGTCCTGGTCCAGGCCTAGCCAAGTTCCACTCATCAGCCAGGCATCCGTCCTCCATGAGAATGTACCTGGCTGCTCTGATCCCCGCGACTCAATAAATCCAACAGCCTTGGAAAGCTGGCTCTGAGCTTGCCTGGCACTGGGAAGACAGGGAGCCCTCACAGATGCTCTCCCAGCTTCTTCAGTGTCCACAATGCTCACTTTGGCACCACTCGCATAAACACTGCCTCCTCCTGGGTTTCAACTTTCCCCCATCCAACACTTGCCACCCAGAGAGCATAAACAGAGAGCAAGACTCATTTGCTTTTTGGAGTATTAATATCCTCGGTCTTTATCTTTGGAACCGCTTCTTTGCCCAGCATTGAACAAAAGATGCAGTCGCTGATTGACAAGTAGTAAAGTGCTTGAATCTAACTGGTATTTTGCAGTCCCTTCTGAGGATGGGCAGGTGGTGCAGAGAAAACCACAGGCTTTGGGGGTATTAGAGCTCACAGCTCAGCTTGGCCCCTCACTGCTCACATGGCCTCACACAAGCCACAGAAGCCTCAGTTTCTTCTTTCTTAAGAGACAGGAGACAACCTGCACATAGCAGGGTTGCTGTGAAGGGCAAGATGCACATGAGAGAGTAAAGCCTAGCTCCTGGGGGCACTCAGTAGATGTGGAAATGTGTGCTGGATCCATCACATGGGACGGGTTTGTATCTGGGGAATGCACCAGTTTGAAAATCAATTCCCCAAGTTGCCAACTCCTCCTCATCTAAAATGGTGAAGTATTTAGAGGTATCAAGCCAGACCTGACTGCCAGAGAATCATTTACAAACTGGAAGAACCTGTCTCCTCCCAACCCCAGCTGCCTCCTCCCCTCCCCCACAGAAGAATAATGAGCAACTTAATCTTAGGCCTCCAGTGGAAAAGCCCAAAGGAGGTGCTGAGGGCACTGGGTGGGCGTGGGAGCTCCAGGAACTCGCTCTTATCTAGAGGGAGATAAGAGAGGTGGAGGGAGACAGCCAGACAGAAGATAAGCGCTGCTTTGGATTGAACCCCACAGCCCGTACCAGGCTCAGACCTGCCTCCCTGGATTTAAAGGGTCTAGTCTCAGCCTTCAAAATCAGCTCTCCAATTTAAGTCAAAGACCTTAAAAATTACTCTAATACCTATGTGAGGTAGGTTTCTCACAGAAAAACATCAGAACGTTTACAGTCTGGCAAACTTGGGTGTGAGCCAGGTCATATGCACTTGCTAGCTGTGTGAGCCTAGGCAAGCATCTAATCTACCTCAGCGCGTTTTCTCATCTGTAAAATAGGGATAATGACACTCACTTCATAGGGCTGTAAGGATTGAATTAGACCATGCAGGTGACGTATTCAGCACCTGGTGGCTACATGATAACCAGCGCTCATTACTATTCTTCAAATGACCCAAACCTTATCAAACCAAAAGGAAGAGAAAAAGGAACACAATTTGTGACCACTATGACTAACTTTCCAGGTCTAGGAATTATGTACTTTAAAACTAGAGGCCGTGGTCTTTCAATTCAGATCTGAGTTCAAACCTACTTCCTACCGGTGTCTCTTTGGACACCTCACTTAACTTCTGAGTTTTAAGTTCCCCATATATAATGGAGAACCTCAAACAAAGAAGTCTGGGTAATGAACTAAAAACATAGTTAGTGCAAGGTGGTTTTATTAATGAAATAGACAGGCCGATTTAGAAGGACTTTGTGGGTCTGAGCTTGAATCTGAGTTTCAAGCCTTTTCTTTCAGAAACTGGAGTGTGACACTTTTGGTGGCTACCCCTCTCCTTCCTCTAAAGGAGAAGGATTAGTTAAGTCAAAGGATCTTGGGTAATAACTCTTGTTAATGTCTTCCTCGTCAACCACCACCCAGCTGTTGCCTTTTTAAGAGTTTGATATAAAATATAAATAAAACCAGCTACCCAAAAATATGAAAGGTTCCTGAATTTTCTGGGAAGAAACAAGATGTGATGCTTTAGTTTCCAAGAATAGCCTTGAAGCAATTTGGTTTTTGCCAGCTGAAGTCCCTTATTTGTGGTTCTGCCTTATATGTGACTTCATGAATCACAAAGCAATTCCCTTTCCCTGACTCCTGCTGCTACAAACTAAAATCCAGGACCTCAAACTGCCTGCGACAGCACTGGTAATGGGCCCGGCCCACGGCATCTGGGAGACCAGCCCATGGTTTATGCAGAATCCCTAAGCACCTCTCAAATGAGAGAAGGAGCCTCCTGGCCCACGCGTTGCCACTGCACTCATATGTAGGACTGTCACACCTTCTGCCTGCTCCGGGCCGCATCACCTGTCTAATAGCATCAAACAGGGGACCAGGTGGTGGATAAATGGTGGAGTCCTATAAAAACTTAAGGTGGGCTGGAGGGACACTTGGCAGAACCTTCCCCAAAGCAACAATTTGGCTCAGGGGAAAAGCTCAACCCTGAGCCCCACCCTCAAGGCTTACAGATGAGATATCTTTCAAGGTAAATGCACTCTAAAAACCAAACCCTCTTGCTTCTGGCACTATCAAGCTCCCCATTCCAACTTACCATCCCCCAGGTTTACCTCACCAAGAGGCCACTGGGCAGGGCCAATTTCCTTAGCAATGAAATGGGGTGTTCGCCCCCATGCACTCACAGAGTGGCTGGAAGGACTAGGAGCTCCAGCTCTGTGCCTTGAACACAGAAGACCTTCCGTCATGGCTACCTGGACAAAACACCTGAGATGAGGCAGGAGCTGGTCACAGCTGTGGCAGTGGGAAACGCCTCCCACACATGCTGCATCTCTGCAGAGCCCAGCGTGGGCAGAACACCTATTTTGCTGGCAATACCTGCAGACATTATCTTCTCAGCGGGCCCAGGGAGGCTTGGCTTTCTATCTGCAAAGGCATGTGGCAACCGACTTAAACCAAAAGGGGAAACCCCCAGGGCCAGGCCGGGACCAAAAGGGCCCCCTTGTCCTTCCAGCCGGGGGTCCTCAGACTTCCCTTGGTCACCCACCCAGATGGAGAGCGCAGTGCCTCTGGGGGCAGCCTGCTCCACCCTTGCCTCCTCAGC